CGCGGACGAAGCCCAGGGGGACACCGGGGGCGGGCGTTCTGGGAGGCGCCGGGCGGACACCCTCCCGCGCGGTCACCCTCGGGGCGGGCACCACGCGCGGGGAGGGGATCCCGGCGGGCGGGGCCTGGAGACGCTCTCGCCCCGCCCCGCGCCTCTTCCGCTTTCGCTTTCGCTTCCGCCGGGAGCGCGGCGCCGCGGAGCATGGACGACCCCGACTGCGACTCCACCTGGGAGGAGGACGGCGACGCGGACGCGGACGGCGAGGCCGCCGGCGCGGGGTCCGCGGACGCGGGGGACGAGGACGAGGGCGCGGGGCAGGCGCGGCCCGGCGCGCTCCAGGTGCGGGCCGGGGCCGGGGCCGGGGTCCGGGTGGGGAGCCCCGCTCGTCGGCGGCCTGCAGTGCCGGGTCGCCTGTGTCCCCTCGTCCCCCGGCGCGGGACCTCGCGGGAAATGCGGGGCCGGCGGGGGTGACGTCAGAGCCGCGTCCGGGGACCCGAGCCCCGTCCCATGTGCCCGCGCGTGGGTAACGTTCCTCCCCCTCGTCCGCATCCCGCCTCCAGCCGTGGTGGCTGCGGTCTGGGTAGACCCCAGCCTTCCCGCTGCCGTCACCGCTGCTTGGCCAGCGTCATGGCGGTCCCTGCGGCGACCCCGCGCCGGCCGGAGGGAGCCCCCCCGCCCTACCCCCCCCGCCTGACCCCCACTCCTGACGCCCCCCGCCCGCGGGGTGCAGCGCCCACCCGACATTCTGGCCGGTGGCCCGGGGGCTTCCTTTGGGTGAGTCCCGAGCACCGGCCCGCGGCCCACCCGCAGTTGGCGCCGGTTACTTTGTTGCCAGCAGGCACTTGTCGCTGCCAGAGGTTACTTTTGTTGCCAGTGGTTATTAACGGCTGCCGGGGCTGCCGCCCATGGCCCGCTGTGGAGCCCGGGAGTGTGGAATCAGGCTGTGGCCCCGGGATGGATTCTGATTCCGCCCGTGGCAGAGAGCGCTAGTTTCGGGTTTGTGCCTGAGAACCCGGGAGCGGTCAGTGAGTGACCCCGAGGCGGTGCTGGAAGGCCACTCCCGTCCCCAGCACACCTGCAGTGCTTCCGGCGCTGATGTGCAGGGAGGCAGGCCCAGGAGGCTGGGGTCCAGAGCCTGGAGGTGGGGAGGGGTCTGGTTCTGCCCCCAGGATGACGTTCGCTGGGGTGGGCTCTGACAGGTAACTGTCCCTGCTGGAGTTGCTGGAGCCACACTCCTGAAGCAGTGCTCAGGTGCCTGTGACCTCTGACCTCTTCCCTTCTGCCTCCTGCCCCAGCTTCTGTCACCACCCTACCCCCATGTCCGCTGCGAACCCTCAGGGACCTCCCCAGCTGCCCCGCACTGGACCCTGGCGAGGCCGTTTCACTTTGTCTCGGACCATGGGATGTGTGGGCTGACCCTGCTTTGAGGTGTGTGCACAGCCAGCGTCCATCCAGGACACCTCCTCTTGAACTGACCTAGGGAGGCTCCCCGCTGGCCCCAGGGAGAAGGGGAAGTAGAACGGGTGGAAGGCGGGGCCAGCTCCTGCTCAGTTTTGTTTTCCCTCCACTGGCCCTCAGCTAGAGAACCTCACCCTCTGGCCCCAGTTTAGAAACAGGGCAGAGAGGCAGCTCCAGACCCCAGCTGGAGCTCAAGGCAGAGCCAGGCACGCTGTGGCTGACCTGGCCTCCTGACCTCCCTTCGAGCTCCTGGATCCTGAGACCCGGCCACCTCCACGGACGAGCTGTCCCCTTATGTCACACCCAGGGCCCCCCCTTGCTGCTGTGTCCCCCACTCCCGTAATCGGGTGGGCGCCGGGCTTGGTTTACCCAGCACCCTCCTCACCAAGTGTCTCCAGGCCTTCCCTGGACGCTGCGTGCCTGGCATGCACGGGTGGGGTGACAGAGTTGGACAGCGAGGAGCCCCTGACATCTTGCTGAGGAGCCACCCACACAGGACTGGAGGCCAGGAGCCTCAGGGTCTGACCTTACTGGGGTCTGACCTCACTGTGGGCTCTGGCCAGTGAGGCGTGGGGGTGGGGCAGGGAAAGGCCACTCCCTGGGCCTCAGTCATTCATTCATTCACCAGACCGCGCCATAGGTGGTGAGGCTGCTGCCCCTGGGAACACAGAGCCTGAGTACGGTCAGCTCACAGTGCGAGGGGGTGGTGCCATGGAGAGTGGGGGTACCTGGGGGCACATAACGGCTGAGACCAGAGTGGGGGTGGCCAGCAAACCTGGAGGAGGAGGGAGTCAGGGCCACACCCCGTGAGCGTGCGCGCAGTGGCCTGGGCCTGGAGCCACCCTGGGGTAGAAGCCGAGACTCCCAAGCCTGGGGCAGGCCTCAGCCCTGGCTGCTCCGACCCCCTGTGGTTCTGTGAGGGTGTCTGGGTGCCTCACTGGGGTCCAAGTCTGCCAACCAGCAACCCCCCAGAAAAGGGCTGGGGTGCGAGAACTGGAGGGAGGAACTATGGAGAACCCCCACCCTCTTAAAGATGCTGACCAGGTGGGGCCCACTGTGGGGGTTTCCCATGGGGTCCTCATCCCATCTCTTCTCTTCCCAGTCCAGGATGACAGGGTCCCGGAACTGGCGAGCCATGCAGGACATGCGCAGGTACCGACACTGCTACCCGGTACGTACCCGCCCCGCACAGCCCTTGGAGCCCCCCTGCCACCCCGGCAACCCCTTGCAGCAACCCTAGCACCTTGGCAGCCCACCTGGAAATACCAAGCCCTCCCGTCAGCCCTTCTTCTCGGACGGAACATCTCATGTCCTACTGGAAACCTGCCTGGGCCTATTGGGGTTTTGGGGTGAGCCCTTCGAGAGCACAAGCCAGATGTGGGTTGAGATTCCTGCCCTTCCCCCAGTCACGAGGTGATGGGCCGTGTTGCCCTCACTCTGAGAGCCTCTGCACCTCGCTTTAGAATGCGGGAACACAGCAGCCATGTAAGGCAGGTGGGTGGTCCGTGACCCCACACGAGGGCTCCCCCAGCAGGTGCTAGCAGCCATCCCACATGGGCAGCTGATCACAGCGACCTCCTTGGGGTGGTGGTTGTCCTCAGCCCTTGTCCTCTGTACCCCAGATCTCAACCCCTGTGCTCCTTTTGGGGTACAGAGGAAGGGGGACCTCCCAGGCCACTCGTGGTCAGTGGTAGTCAGAGGCAGCTGCAGAGTGCGGAGCCCAGGCTGGGTCTCGGGGTCCTTGACAGCCTCTGGAGGTCTGGAGGTTTGCAGACGCCCCTCCCCAGAACGTGCTGGTCTGAGCCACCCCCGGAGGCAGCCTGTTTCTGTGATTCCCTGACTGCCCTTCCTCTGGCTCTTCAGGATTTGGTAGAACCAGACTGCAACGGAGACATGCCAAACCTGAGTTTCTACAAAAATGAGATCCGCTTCCTGCCAAACGGTGTGTACCCACTCAGCAGCCAGCAGTCCCTGGGGACCGGGTTTGGGTGTACCCCACGCTGGGGCTGTGGCTTTCAGGTAGCCCCACAGTGCCCCCTGGAGGCGGCCAAAGGGACTCCAGGGCCCCAGCCTTGGGTCTTAGCAGCGAAGTTTGGGTCAGGGATCTGCAAACTCTGTAAAGGACGGGAGAGTAAATATTTGAGGCTTTTCAGGCCACAAAGTCTCTGTCAAAACTGCTCGAGTCTGCCACTGTCTCACAAAAGCAATGTGTAAACTAATGACTTAAGGATGGTTTTTATATTTTTAAGTAATTTGAAAAAATTAAAGTAGAATAATATTTTAGGATGTGAAAATTAGATGAATTAAAATTTCAGGGTCTGTATGTGAAGCTCCGTGGTACCTGCCCACACCATGACGCACACGTTTGCCCGTGGCTGCCTTCACGCTTGGGCAGAGGACAGACCACCCGGCCGCACGGCCCAAGTGCACTGCCTGGCCCTCGGCAGAAACAGGGCACTGCTGCCCTGGACCTGTCGTGGGCGTGGGGCTGGCTGGCGGCTTTGTTCGAGGACAGAGTTCCGAGACCAATGGGCCCTGTTTCGGGGGAGGCGGCGAGGCCCCCCTCGGCATGGACAGGCCGGGTCTGGGACCACCGGTGCCCCTGGTGTGCGTCCGTCAGCAGCGCGGGCCAGTTCACAGGCTGAGCAGGGCCAAGGGCCCAGGTGCTCAGAGTTGGTGGGTCACACGTCAGATGAGGTGTGGGCAGCTCTGCCGACCCCCAGGAACCCTCGTGGGGTGCGGGGGGTGCTGGGGAGCTTTGGGAAGTGCTCTGTCCCCCTGAGCGCCGTCAGGGTGGCTTCCACAGCTGACTTGTCCCCATGGGCTCCCAGGCTGTTTCATTGAGGACATTCTTCACAACTGGAGGGACAACTATGACCTCCTCGAGGACAACCACTCCTACATCCAGTGGTGAGTCGGGCCGAGCAGGGCAGGGGCCCTCGTCCACGCTGCTTCCTGGTGTGTGCTGAGCACTCCGCCCTTTCCACTGTCTACCGACACGCACGGGTGGGTCTCACTGGGCGCTGCGGTGGCCGTGCAGGGGAGCCTCGGGCCTGCCCGGCTATGGCTCTTCATTTTGAAACAGCCTCTGCGGCTGGGAGCTGAGGACCTGGGAGACGGGCGGGCTGCACACATACTCCCGTGCGGCAGGAGAGGCGGGCTGGCCCGTGGCCGCGCAGGGCTCCAGCACGGTGCCTCGACGAGACTTGCCGGCACAGCTCGCTTGGAGGCTGTGGCCTGGCCACGGAAGTCAGTGTGCCTTGCTTTGAAGACAGCCCTCTGGGCGGTACTCAGGCAGCCCCTCCTGGCACATGGTCCATCGTGGGTAGTAATACTGCAGTATTAACGACGTGAGAGAAAGAAGAATGAAACAACAGAAAGGAAAGTGTGGCCCTGCCCTGAGCCGAGGCTGCAAGTCAGCCTGGCCGTGGGCATCACTTTCCTGCCTGTCCAGCCGAGCGTGCAGGCTGGGGACCCCGTCCTCCCGGTCCACAGAGCGTGCAGGCTGGGGTCCCCGTCCTCCCGGTCCACGGAGCATGCAGGCTGGGGTCCCCGTCCTCCCGGTCCCGAAGAGTATGCAGGCCGGGGTCCCCGTCCTGGGCCTGTACACACTCACCCCTTTGCTTTGTTGATTTGAGGGGGGCCTGGCCAGCCTCTCCTGGAGTTGAGCATGGAGCCCAGAGAGGGTGGTGAGCTGCCACAGGCCACCAACAAGCGTGTGCCCAGGAGCTGGGGGCTGACCTCTGGTCACACAGGGCCCTGTGCTGTGTCTGACCCCACAGGCTGTTTCCTCTGCGGGAACCGGGAGTGAACTGGCACGCCAAGCCCCTCACACTCAAGGAGGTCGAGGTGAGCTCCAGTCCTTGGAGGCGTCTTGGGGGCAGATAGGGAGGCCTGGGGAAGCCACCCTGCCTGGGACAGGGGTCACGTGTGACAACAGAAGTTTGCTACCCCCCAGGGGCCACTTGGCAGGCAGCAGGGCCGGAAGAGCCTCCAGTCTTACCATCTCCCTCCGAGTGGCCCTGGCTTCCCAAGGACCTAGGAAGTGGCACTTTCTGAAGCTGTTGCTTCCAGCTGGGGGTCTGGGGCAGAGCCCCAGAGAGACTCAGAGTGGCCGGACTTGCCTCTGTCCCCCTGGTTGGGGCCGGAGTGGGAGGCCCAAGTTTGGAAGCCGCCCCTGAGGGACGAGAGGGGCTTAGAGGGCTGGGAGCACCTGGCAGGGCGTGGAGCAGGCTCGCGGAGGAGATGCCTCCCTTTGGGGTAAAGCAGCCACCTCGGGCCCCAGCGAGACCTCATGGTGGCTCTGAGGAAAGCGGGGAGCGCATGAATGCGCCTCTCATTTTTCCCTGAGAGTCCGAGTCCAGGCCTCTGGGTGAGTCAGGCCCCGAGGGAGTGTCGGTGGCCCCACGCCTACGTGGCCACCCTAACGCGCTTGGGACAGCAGGCCCCAGGGATGGCTGCCGGAGCTCTCCAACGCGCTATTTTCCAGGCTTTCAAAAGCTCCCGGGAGATCAGGGAGCGGTTTGTCCAGGCCTACGAGCTCATGCTGGGCTTCTACGGCATCCGGCTCCAGGACCGAGACACGGGTGCCGTGTGCCGGGCACAGAACTACCAAAAGCGCTTCCAGAACCTGAACTGGTGAGAGGCAGCGCGCGGGGCCGGGCCGGGCCAGGCAGGACCTGCTGGGCGCGTGACAGGCTCTGGGCACCCTCCTCACCGCAGGGTAGGGTGGTTCTTACCTGGTAGGGAGTTGTAGGAATTTTCAGAAAACTGTCCCCTGCGTGGGAGGGGCCAGCCCTGCAGAGCAGCTAGGGCAGTGCCAGTCTGTGCAGCCGGCACAGCCCCCTTGCATTGGAGGTCCGAGGCCCCTGTGCTGGACCCCTCTGGTCCTCCCCCTGCCAGCTCCTCCCTGCAGGGTCCCGGGGGGCCGGCTACCCTTCCAGGTGATGCACCAGACCCCCGCCCACACGTCCAGGGCCCACGGCCATCTTCTTGGGTGCTGGGGTGTGTCCTCCCCTGGGCCCAGGGAGGCGGTTGGGCACAGAAGCTCCTGGAGGGTCGAGTGGAGCCGGGTGGGAGGAGAGTGCGGCCCACAGGGCCCAGGCCCAGGCCCGTGGCCCGCCCGCAACCTCTGCCGGCCGGACCTCCGCAGGCACAGCCACAACAACCTGCGCATCACGCGCATCCTCAAGTCGCTGGGCGAGCTGGGCCTCGAGCACTACCAGGCGCCGCTGGCCCGCTTCTTCCTGGAGGAGACGCTGGTGCAGCGGGAGCTGCCGGGCGTGCGGCAGAGCGCCCTGGACTACTTCATGTTCGCCGTGCGCTGCCGGCACCAGCGCCGGGAGCTGGTGCGCTTCGCCTGGGAGCACTTCCGGCCCCGCTGCAAGTTCGTCTGGGGGCCCCACGACAAGCTGCAGAGGTTCAGGCCCAGCTCTCCACCCCGACAGCTGGCGGCTCCCAGGCAGGTGGAGGGGCGGGAGAGCCCCCAGGACCCCCTCCTCGAGGCTGGCACCCAGGGTTGGACCTGCGGGCTGGGGAGGGAGGGGAGTGGGGACAGCACGCCCGAGAGTCCCCGCCCGCCGAGCGTGAAGCCCCAGGACCAGGGAACCCTGGAGAGGAGCCGGGGAGACGTGGCCAAGGGCGGCAGGGAGGATGAGCCGGAGCCCCCGAGCCCCAAAGAGGGCAAGAAGAGGAAGCTGGAAATGAGTGGGCGCGAGCAGACCCCCGAGGAGCTGGGCCCCCAGGGCGCCTCGGAGGTGGAGAAGATTGCTCTGAACCTGGAGGGGTGTGCCCTCAGCCAGGGCAGCCTCGGGGCGGGGGCCCAGGAAGGGGGCAGCCAGGACTTGGGGGAGGCTGAGCAGCCCTGCCCCCAGCCCCCGGGGGCCAGGGTGGCCGACGAGGTGAGGAAGCGGAGGAAGGTGGACGAGGGTGCCAGGGACAGTGCCGTGGTGGCCAGCAGGGAGGCCCAGACACCGGCCCCATCAGGGTGCCCCGAGGCCAGAGAGGTCGAGAATGGGGTCAAGGAGGATGTGGAAGGCCCGACGGAGCCCAAGCAGGGTGCCCCTGGGAGCCTGTCACAGGGCCCAGGCCCCACTGCAGGACCTGCGGCCCAAGAGTGTGCAGAGGTCGGGGAGGCCACAGGGGAGGGGCCTCCTGCCAGACCCACAGAGCCTTAAGGGACAGTGCCAGCAGGTGTCGTGGCCCTGCTGCAGGAGTCGGGGCCCCGGGCACCCGGCGCTGCTCTCCCCAGTGTCCAGCAGTACCAGCCTCTCCCCAGCAGCCACTGCGGCGGCCTGGCAGGAGTGCAGCCCCGCCTCAGGGAAGGCCCAGGCCCCCAGGAGCCTCGGCGTCTCGCTGCACCCCCGCCCCACTGTCCTCTGCCCATCTCTGTAAATTGACTTTCAGGGTCGGGGGGTGGTAGGGTCCCATTTTCTTAGTCTGGTGCCAAGCGAGGCCTTTTCTGAATAAACTCATTTGACTTTGAGACTTTCTGGCTTGGACCAAGGCCCTGTTTGGTGGCGGGTGGGGCTGGTTTCTTCTCCAGTCACAGTGGCCAGGCCTGGGGGCAGAGCAATGGCCCAGCCTCCCAGACACACCCAGCCTTGCTGCCTGGTCCCTTGGGCACAGGTACGCTGCCCCCAGGGGAGCACACGTGTCCCGAATGCGAGGCCTCCCAGGGCCTCTGACGGCTGGACAGTTGGTCCCCTGGCTGCCTCTGTCCCCTGTCCAAGGTGGGTGTAGGGACGCAGGAGCTGGGGTTGAGCGGCTCTGCCGCCCTTCACAGGGCCTGCCTCCGCGCCCCCCACAGCCCGGCTTTGTCCCTCTGAGCCAAAACCCTCCCTCCCTAATCCACCAGCATCTCTATCTCTGGGGCGGGGAGCTTTTGTGGGGCCTCTGACGAGGGTCCCCCAACTCATGGCTCCTCCAGGGGCCACATGCTTGCCTTTGAACAAACCATGGCGGAGGTCGGATGCAGACCTGTGGGCTCTCCTGAGCAACCATAGCTCACGCTGAGAGTTAGAACTGGGGCTCCAGGCACCACGTTCGGGGGGAGCGCCGGTGGTTAGCTCCTGCTTTGGGTGGGTGGAGCTCAAACCAGTCGCTTCGGAGGGCGGCTCCTGCCTCAATTTCCCTTGGAGCTGGGGGGGCACCTTCGCAGCTGGCCACCGCCCCCAGCCCTGGCCCACCAGAAGCTGTGGGACCCCTGGTGCCTCAACTTTGGTGTGGCCCAAGACAGGGTTTCTGCCGTGGAGGGGAGACTGAGGCACTGAGGTGGATGTCGGGCTTCAGACCAGTCACTTGAGCAGCCTCCTCATGCAGACTGTCACCTGGCTGGTCAGGTGGAGAACCTTGGTGCTGAACCCAGACGGAAGCTGCCGGAGCAGCCCTGGGGGAGGGGTCTGTGCCTGGTGGTGGGCACCAAGGGGTGGCAGGCAGTGCTGGCCCACCTGACCCCGAGCTTCCAGGACAGTGAAGTCCCCAAACTGGTGGGCAGTGCTTTGGTTCTACCCAGCTTAAGGGGCCCCAGGGAGGCTGGTGGGTGTGCGGCCAGCCCAGACCCCTGGGTCTCCCTGGAGTTGGGGGTGAGTTTATGAGGAGCTGAAGGCCAGGGGAGGGGAAGGAAGGCCACGTGGGGTCCTAGGCAGCAGGCCATCCCCCGACCCGAGTGAAGACCAGCTGTGCCGAGTCCACTGGGCAGGAGCCCTTGCTGGGCGTGAGGGGCAGAGCTGGGCTGTGGGGCCTGCAGCCAGGAGAGAGGGGCTGGGGGGCGCCGGCCACATCCGCATCTTTCCCCCAGGCCCTGGGCTTGGAGCAGGGGTGGGGCTGCTGGGAGCCCTCACCCACCCCCTCTCTGAAGACACATCCCCGGATGGACCCCGCTGGAGGGCAGACACTCTCCTTACCCTCTGGATAGAATTCACACCCACCCTCCCACCTGAGGAAGCAAGGTGAGGTCCCTTCCAGGTAGTGAAGGGGGGGTCTCCTTCCAGGCACCCCCGCCTGTTCATTTCCATTGTCTCGAAGGCCACGAGTTCCCACCAGCAGAAATGAAGCTCGTAACAGTTTCCCCTAAATCCTACAGCGTTTGTCAGGGAATCCGCAGTTCATCAGCCCCCGGGGCGGTGACTCCCCCGCCCACTTGCCGGGTCTGGTGAGCCCTGGGCTGGAGAGAGGTGGAAAGGCCACTGGCAGCCTCAGAGCTCCTGCTCTGGACACATCTTTGGCCCAGGACAGTGGTGATGCTTCCCCTCCCCCAGGGTCTGCATTTTGCTGTCTTGGGGGCCAGGGTCTGGGTGAGTCTGGCCTTGGCCAGTGGCGGCTGGCCTGGACCGGTCACCTGGGGGAGTCCAGGTTGTGGGCGGGGCCTGGGCATGGGCGTGCCCCCGCACAGCAAGCCTGGCACTGTCTGGCCCCCAATACGGGGGCTGGGGGGGTTCACCCTCCCTGGGGAGGGGCCTGGCTTCCTGCCCCTTCCTGGAAGGAGCCCCTCTGAGCGAGCCGCCCTCCCACGCGGAGGAGCCGAGGGGCGCGGAGAAAAGAGGCCTTTCTCCTTTGCTCAAAGGTGTGTGTGTGACTCGCCAGTCCTGGGATAATTTTAACTCAGAGGCTGGCCAAAAACGCCCGGCTGCTTTTTTTCCCCTGGCCGCTGGGCGCCGCAGCCCCGCCCGCCCAGGTAGGCCTGAATGGGGGGCTTGTGCGCGGGCGCCGCCCCCGCCCCACCTGCCCGCCCCCATCCCGCCCGCCGCCCTGCCGGCGCGACCCGCCGCCGCCCAGACGCCGCGCAGCCATGGCCCGCGCGCCCGCGCTCGCCCTGCTCCTGCTCGGACAGCTGCTGGCGGCCGCCGGGGCGCAGGTGAGGGTGGCGGGGCCGGGAGACGCGCAGCGGGGACCGCGCAACCTGGGACCGCCCGGCCTGCACCGCCGGGGCAGCCGCCGAGCCGCACGCCGCGCGCAGCCCGGTGGCCCCACGGCGCGCATCGCCGACGGGGCGCGGAGCCGCTGACCTGCGCTTGAGCCCCGGGGACGCCCGACGCGTCGCGGATGAGCCCGGGCGGCCGCCGCGTCCTCGCCAGACCGGGGTCTGCCCGGGTCTGGCCGCTGCCGGCACCGCCGCCTCGCCAGACGGACAATGTGGTCTTTGTTTCCCGCGGCTCCGCGCGGGCGGGCGGCGGCTCGCGGGTCACCGAGGCGGGCGGGGGCCCCTGTGACAGGCCGCAGAGCTGCCCTGGACCTGGGGAGAGGGGAGCTTGCGTGGGCAGACCCGGTGCCAAGCTGGGGGACTGCCCAGCGGCGGGGAAGGGCGCTACTTAACACATTTCTCCATTTCAGAAAGTGGGACCTCCTGGCCCCCCTGGTCCCCAAGGGCCACCTGGCAAGCCAGGCAAAGATGGCATCGATGTGAGTTGGGGGCAGGGGGGCGGGAGGGTTCTCTGGTGTTCTAGCTCTGCCACCTGCCTCCCTGAGCCCCCAGGCCCGGCGGAGAGAGCACCAAGCCTCCCAGAGCTGGGGTGACGGCAGCGAGAGCCAGCACCCCTGTGGCATGTGCGCAGACCTGCAGGGGTGGAAGCGGGGCTGGGGGGTGTCACACGGTGGTCCCTGGGCCAGTAACATGGCCGCTGAGGTGTCTCTGGGTTCCCTGTGTCCGTGGGTCCGGCCTGTGGGGTGGATGGGTCCTGTGGGGTGCTGGGTGCTGGCGCCAGCCTTGCGGGAGGCAGGGCCAGCTCAGCCCCAGAGGCGCCGTCCTCCACGGGGTCCCAGACCAGGCGTGGGAGGCTGGGTGGAAACCTCCCCCAGCCAGCCACCTCCACAGAGGCCTGTTCTCTCCGTCTTGTTCCTGGGGGAGCAGTGAGGACTGTGAGGTGCTGTGTCAAGAACCCCCACGACCCATCCTCAGCCTCCCTCCTCCCTCCAGGACAGCCATGTCCCACCCTGGCCCCAGGTGGCCTAGGGCCTGAAACCTGGCCTCAGTCTCGGTTAAAGGATTTCAGGCCTAGAGGTCGTCAATGGGTTTGGGGGCCCTGGGGGGCCTTACTGGAGGGCGGATGGAGCTGGGAGGCCTCTCGGCTGCCCGAGGCCTGGCTCCTGAAGCTGGCCGGCTGTGGAGGGCTGGGGCTTTAGGACGCCTCCCCATTGTTCCGGGGGGTTGTGTCCCCTTGTCCTCAGAGTGGTTCCCAGATGCAGGGTGGGCTGAAAGGGCCGAGCCCCGTGTATCCAGATCACCCCTCTCCCCGGTGCTGGTCCACAGAGGGGGTGCCCCTAGGTATGGATGTAGGAGCTGGGGCCCCATCTTGTCTCCTGGGGCCAGGCCTCAGGGACGGACCTGGAGGCAGGTCCCTGTCTGCTGCCCTGGGGCAGGGTTTTCAGGGGACCCCGGATTTTCAAGGGTCACATGTGGGTATCTCCCCTCTGCAGGGAGAAGCTGGTCCTCCAGGTCTGCCTGGGCCCCCGGTGAGTGTCCCTGGCTGTGGGGGAAGGGACGCCCCTTTCCCGTCTGGAAGGGGGTGGACGCGGAACAGAGAGGTCTTTCACGCTTGCCCGTCCCACCAGGCTGGGCCCGGGTTGCCTGAGGAGAGGCCCCAGAGGGCTGGAGCAGGGGCCTGAGCCAGGAGGGGAGGGAGGGGGGCGCGTGGGGTTTGCTGTGTCTCTGGGCAGGGTCTGGCTTTAGAACTTTCTTTGGGCAGAGCGGGGCAGGCCAGGGAAGGGGGCGACACATGGAGCCCACCCAGAGCTGTAGTGTAGCCCCCTCACCGCGCTCAGCTCCAGGGGATGGCAGTCCCAGGGCTTAGAGCCCTGTCTGGGCCCACTTGGGGTTCCCACAGAGGGACTTCCCAGCCCTTAGCTGGAAAGGCCAAAGTGACCAGGCAGACGCCCTACAGACAGGACCTCGGGATGTGGCGGGCAGCCTTCCGGGGCCTGGGAGCAGAGGGGCCACCTTGCGTGGCCACTGGTGTGCGGGCGGAACACGCTTGCTTCCTTGCTGAAGGCCAGAGCTCAGGGCCGGACCCCTCCCTCACTCCTCTGCCCCTTCCTCCTGCACAGGGACCAAAAGGGGCCCCAGGGAAGCCGGGGAAGCCAGGAGAGGCCGGGCTGCCAGGACTGCCGGGCGTGGACGTGAGTGTGCCGGCCCCTCCCCACACCGGACCCTGGAGCAGTCGGTCTAATTGCTGGTCTCCAGCTGGGCCTGTTCAAGCGGGAAACCCAGTCCTGATAGAAGTTTCCAGAAGTCCCCATCAGGGGTCCTTTGGCCTTCATCCCAGACCCTGCTAGCATCTGGCAGAGGACAGAGCCAGCCCACAGTAGGAGGACGTCCCGCCAGCTCTTGCTCGTCCAGAAACAAACAGCCATTGTCAGGCTCCTGTGCCCAGGCTGGCCTGGTCCATGCCCAAGCCCCAGGCGGCCCAGGCTCAAGGTCTGGCCGGAGCTTTGTCAGGGCCAGAGCCGGGTCAGGAGGTGAGCTGTGTGGTCCTGCTGGGCTGGTCCCCACGGGGCCTGACTCCAACAGGCGCCCCCGCTGCTGGCTTCACACTGCCCCAGAGCCTTGGGACGCGGATGTGCACGGGGCCAGGAGAGGCAAGTGCCAGGTGGCAGGTCTTTGCCTCCCTGGACTCATCTTAGTAAAGGAATTGTCCGTGGCTCTTTGTTGCCTTGGGGTGGGCACATGCTTTCCATGTGGCCCCTTGAGCCCTCCCTCTGCCTCTCCCCAGGGTCTGACCGGGCGCGATGGACCCCCTGGACCCAAGGGCGCCCCTGGAGAACGGGTAAGTGCCTGCACCACCTCCAGTGGCCTCAGTTCAGAGGTGAGGTCCCCAGCCAGGGGGTGTCCGTGACTGGGCTGGCCGGGCCCTGCCCCTACAGGGGGGCTGAAAGGCCACCCCCCACTCCAGTGGCTGCCCTAGCCCTCCCCTGGTCAGAGGTATCTCAGCATTAAGACCCTGAGGGGGAACTGGTGTTGGGGGTTGTGACCCGCCCTGTGTGCCCCTTCTTCCTCGGGTGCTCCTGTGGCCCCAGGGCCTCACTGTCACCCAGCCTGCCGAGTCCCCTGAGCCTGACCACTGTCCACTGAATCTTGCTCCATGACCGACCGGCACCACCGTCTTAGGACGGCCTTCTCCCCCCACAGCTTCTGAGCACAAAACAACCCAATGTCCTCTCTCCTTCTCCTTGTGAGAAGTGACCACCAGCAGGTGCTGCTGGCCCTGGGTGCTGGGCATGGCCGAGGCAGGCTGGGTGGGGGCGCACGGGACACAGCCCTGCCCTTGGGAGCTCTTCTGCGCTCGGCAGTGCTCCGAGTTGGAGACAGCAGAGAGAAGGTAGCTGCTGTCCAGCTGAGTCCCTTGGTGCTGCGAGTGGGGGTGGGCCAGCCCAGCCCTGACATGAATTTTCCTTCCACAGGGAAATCTGGGACCTCCGGGGCCACCTGGGCTGGGGGTGAGTGTGGTCAGCAGCTCTCTGTGGGAATCTGAGCAGCTGGAGGGCCTGGGCACGGCAGGGCTGTCCTGGCCTCTCCTGGGCAGCCCTTGTCTCCGTGGGGGCTGCTGAACCAGCCGCCCGTCCCCTAGGCTCCCCCAGGCCCTGCTGAGCCATCTTGGGGGTTGGGGGCACCCCATCCTGTGCCCAGCAGGCTCTGACCTCCACGCTTGGCTTGCAGGGCAAAGGCCTCCCCGGACCCCCCGTGAGTACTGACGACCCTTGCGGCCCCTAAGCATGCGAGTTCCCAGAGCTACCCCACACGGGAGCCATCCTGGGTGGGAGTGTCCCACATCGTGGTTGGGGGCGGAGCTTTGGGGGGAGCAACCTGACCACCCCACACCAGGTCCCCGTCCCCTCAGAGACGGCAACGTGGGCCTGGGTGGGGATCCCCGTGTCTCACCTCTTACCCCACTCCAGGGAGAGGCAGGAGTGAGCGGCCTCCCAGGCGGGATTGGCCTCCGCGGCCCTCCGGTGAGTGGCCCCCAGCCTTCCCCCACCCCTGGGGCAGGCTCACCATGGCCCCCCCAGGTGCCCAGACTCAGCTGCCAGGGGCTCCCCCTTTCCCCTCCCCTCGACCCCCATTTCCTGGTGGTGTCAGCACAGGCCCTGGCCAGTGACCGAGGGAAGGGACAGTCCAGGCCACTGGACACTACTTGAGGCCAGGGCCTGGGGGGTGGGGGAAGCTGGGGGCGCTCTCCTCCCCGGGGGATCTGCTCTAAGTCACGCCTCCACAGGGACCCTCTGGACCCCCAGGCCTCCCTGGCCCCCCAGGACCTCCCGGACCCCCTGTAAGTACTGGACTAGTGTGCTGGGTTGGACCCCTAGGCCCGATGACCCATGGAGATCACCTAATCCCAACCAGCCATTCCCAGGAACAGATGGGGGTCGGGGGGCAGCTGCTGTGGCTGGGTCCCCACGGCCAACCTGCCCCAAGGACAAGTAGCTTCTGTCATTGTCCCATGCCCTATGGATGGGCCAGCAGCACCCAGCGCTGGCCACTGGGGCCCAGGGTGAAGGGTCTCCGAGTCCCCTGGTGGGTGGGGGAGGTCATGGTCAGAGCATGGGGGTGGGGTGGATGCAGATGCCAGGGGGGGGTGGGGATGTCAGCTGCCTGTCTGTGTTCCAGGGACACCCAGGGGTCCTCCCCGAAGGCGCTACTGACCTTCAGGTGGGCACTTGCAGCCATTTGTGAAGGGGGCGGGGGGTGCCTGCCTTGGAGGAGGGGCCTGGCCTGAGTCCCGCCTCGGTGACGCTGATGCAGCGCTCTCCCTGGAGAGGGGCTTGTTCTGAACAGGCACGGAGGGAGGGCCGGGGGCTCCCCGGGGAGGGGATCGAGGCAGGCAGGTCCAGGCACAGCCGGCAGAGGGCCCAGCTGAGGGTCTTGCCCCCTTCCCCCCGTGGCTCACAAAGCCACCAGCCACATGGATGATGTGAACCCAAATTAATTACAGTCACGCCAATCGTCAGCTCCTCCCTGCGGGAGCCACCAAGGGGGGCTCCAAGCCACAGGTGCGGGTGGCGCCCGCACGTCCTCAGCGCAGAGGCTCCCAGCTAGAATCCGGGACACTCCTTATCTTGGTCTTTGAGCCTTGTCACTCCGGAGGCCCCAGGTCTGTTCTCTCCGCGCCTCCGTGGAGAGGTTGTGTGTTTTCAAAGGAAAAAATCTTGCCCAGTTGCCGCAACCACTGATGGCTGTTCCCCCTGTTCTCGCGCCCACCTGCGTCCCAAGTGCGCCACCCGTGTGTCCCAGAGGGAAGGCTCAGGGGTCTTCTGCAATGAGGAGACCACGGGCTGACGGTACCGGCTCTGCTCCTGCAGCTGTGGAATGCTCTGGAACCTCCCCTGGGGTCCCCGAGCCTCGGGCCGGGGGCATCGAGTCTGTGGCCTGGGCTCCTGGTACCATCCCTCCCACAGGCCATGTGCTCGCGCAGGCGTGTGCCAGGGGCCCTGCCTGAAGGTGCTGCCGCCGACGGCCCCTTTGTGCAGCCAGCGGACAGCTGCGTTGACACCTGCGTCCGGGGGCCGGGACATCGAAGCTGGCTGTGGGGGGCGGCTGGCTGCCGTCTGGCTTCGTGAGGCCCCTCGCCAGGCGGGGCAGGCACTGACGAGGCCCTGTCCCCGCTCCCCCACCGTCCCTCACACGTGGGGACCCCCTTCTCAGGGCCCCCCTGGAGCTGGCCTCTGTACTGGGGTCTGCTCCACCTGGCTGGGGGGGGGTCTGACCACTCCGTCTTCCAACAGTGCCCAAGTGTCTGCCCGCCAGGCCCCCCTGGACCCCCGGGAATGCCAGGGTTCAAGGTGAGCGGGCAGCCCGGCCCTGGTTGCAGGGTGGCCACGGGGAGAAGCGGCGGCTGGCTCCTGTCCCGGCTTCGGCCCCATGCCCCACGCTGGGAGCTGGTAGGGCCAGAGAGAGGGCATGGGGGAGAGCTGGCTCCTGTCCCCAGCCCAGCCCTGCCCCCTCCCATGGCACCTCTCAGGCCTCGGTTTCCCCTGCGGGGCCCGGCCTGCAGTCCCGCCCGCCTCGGTGTGGCTGCGGCTGGATCTGCTCAGGGAGGGACAGCGGGGTCTGGCGGGGCGGCGACTCCGTGTTTGCTTTCAGGGCCCCACTGGCTACAAAGGAGAGCCGGGAGAAGTCGGCAAGGACGGCGAGAAGGTGAGCACCGGCGCGTCTGCGGCCGCGGACTGGGAGGCGGTGACAGTGAGGCAGGGGCTGGGGGCCCGGGACCTGGCCACAGGCAAGGCCACCGGGACGCGTATGACCACTCTGGAGCTACGTGTGACTCCGTCACGTAGCCGCGTGGCCCAGCCGTGACATGGGCGACACCAGACTGAGCCCTCTGACCGCCGCTTTCTCCCTCCCCGCTGCAGGGTGATCCCGGCCCCCCTGGGCCCGCCGGCATCCCGGGCACTGTGGGGCTGCAGGTGAGGCCAGGGAGGGGTGAGGGCGGTGGGAAGGGAGATGGTCGGCCAGCACCCGGGCTGGGGTCCTACTGCAGAGGCGCCGATCCCAAGGCCCCAGGGAAGATGCTGGGACTCCCAGGCCCCCCCAGAGCCAGGGCCCCAAGCGCGGCCTCTGCATCTTTCCCTCTCTCCCGCAGGGGCCCCGGGGACTACAAGGACTGCCAGGGCCGCTCGGGCCCCCCGGAGACCGGGTAAGTCCTGCAGCCCTGGGGGTTGTGAGCCACACTGAGATCGGCTGCAGGGTGGGGGACCTGGGCTTGTCCCCATGTCCACGCCAGGGGCACCCCGTGAGTGTGGCTCCTCAGCAGCCGCGCCCTGGGCTCTGCCGCCGCCCGGCTGTGTGGGCCGCAGGCCTCTCTGGCGGAGGTTGGCTCAGTGTCCTCACGGCCCCCACACACGGTTCCCAGCCCGGGGCTGAGGTGGCTTAGGCCCAAGGTGACTGGGGCAGGGGGAAGAGGTTTGGGGACCACTGGGTGCGTATTAGGGGCCTGCGGGGTCCTGGAGGGGGGTGCTCGCAGGGCCGCTCCCGACGGGGATGGGTCCCGGGGGTGCCAGCCAGGCTGCAGACGAGATGACTCAGACGCCCCCTCTCCTCCTCCGCAGGGTCCCATTGGGTTCCGAGGGCCCCCCGGGATCCCTGGAGTGCCCGGGAAAGCGGTACGTGTGTCTGGCGGGGGTGGGTGCCGTGTGGGCCCAGCCTCTGCCCTGCTCCCCCCGCCCCACCTGCCGGGCCAAGCGGTCCCCTGCGCACACCTGGGGGGCACAGGCCAGGGGGCCACATTTACCAAAAATGTTTATCCTTTGTGGGAGACTTCCGTCCTTCCTGGTTCTAGACGGGAAGCAAGGTGTCCTTATTGCCTTCTGGCCTCTGTGACCCTCAGCAGCATCCGTCCAGCCACCTCTGACCCCGCCCGGCCTTGGTCTTGCTCTCCCGCCTTCTCCGCATGGTTAACCCTTCCCTCCCCGCGCCCCGTCCTTTCCAGGGTGACAGAGGCGAGAGGGGCCCCGAGGGTTTCCGCGGCCCCAAGGGCGACCTCGTAAGTGAGAGAGAACTCGGTTCTCCGGGTCCCTCTGTGGAAGGACTTGCCCTGATTCCTGACTGGTGTTGGGGGGATCCCACGGGGCACCCGCCAGGGGGAGTTGGGGGCCACCTGTGCCCGGGGTGGGGGGGGATGAGCCTGGCCCCGGAGGCCCCAGCACGCCCCCTGCCCCCGTGGAGCCCTGGCCCCTCCTCGCCACCAACAGCAAGCGGCCCTGGGCAGAGTGGGCTTCACCTGTGCCAAGGTTGCCCAGGTGTGAAATAGCAATGAGAGAAAACAGCTCTCGGGTTAAGCCAGTGAACTTGGGCAAGCCCAGACAGCGAAGGTCTCTGGACCGGAGTGGCTGCCCCCAGCGGTGTTCGCCTGTGGCAGCCTCCTGACCGGCCTGGGTCCTCGCGGACTGACCCAAAGATGGTTCTCCCCACGCATGACGGGCCCCTTGGGGACGGAACCTTTCCCCGGGCGGTTTGTTCCCTGCCCGGAGCACAGCTCTGGCCTCCGAGAGCAGCCTGCCTGGAGCTTGTGAGCTGGTCTGGGAAGGGGACCCTCAGGTCTGTCACTCGTGTGTCCTTCAGGGCAGACCTGGTCCCAAGGGAGCCCCCGGAGTGGCCGGGCCAGTTGGAGAGCCGGTGAGTCCTGGGCTGCGGCCACCCGTGCGGCTGTCCCGTATCTGTAACTGCTTCTCGGGGATCGTCCTTCCACATCCCGCTGTGCCCAGGGCCTCACGGGCGTGTGGCCACACTCAGCAGGGCCAGCCCTCGGGTTGGTGCCCTGCCGTTGGGCAGCCTCCTGCGGCCCCGCATTTCCGTGGCCTCCAGGACCCTGCGGAAGCGGAGGGCTCGGCCGGGCTCACCTGCGCCGGGGGCCTGTGGGAGTGAGGGCCGGCAGGTGGCACGGGGCACAGACGTGGCGCTCCAAGGTCCGGGCACCTGTCCTGGGCACCTCCGCCCTGCTGTGCACCCAGACCCCAGTGCCCCCACTGTCTCTGGCCCTAGAGGGGTATCCCTGTCTCACGGGACGCCTGGGGCGGGAGTTTGCCCAGGATGGGTGCAGGGACAGGCCCCCTGATGCCTCCGCTGGTCAAGAGTGTGGCCCAGACGGCCGGGCCCAAGTCCATGTCCCCAACCTGTTCCCACCTGTGCAACAGGCCACAGCTGCACTTCCCTGGGGAGCCGCGAAGCATCCAAGCGGACGTGGCCCGGTCAGCGGTGCAGCGGCGCTGCCTCCGCGGCTCACCCCACCCCCGTCCTTTCCCGCCCCCCTCACCTGCGTGGCCTCTGGGGCAGCACAGGCTGCCACGTGGCCTCCTGGGTGAAACCATAGACAACCCCCAGGTTCAGGGGGCAGAGCCAGTTCTGGGGGTGGGGAAGGGGCTGCCCTGGGGGACAAGGCTGCATCGGAAGGGCGGGGGCGACTCCCTGCCCCAGGCCTCCCACCTCACATGTCCGTTGTCTCCAGGGCATGCCGGGCAAGGACGGCCAGGACGGAGTGCCAGGACTCGAGGGCGAGAAGGTTGGCGCGGGCTGTGGGGGGTGGACGGGAGCTCAGCCTCCCAGGGCCTCGGCACCCGCCCCCACTCACCCCTGCCGTCCTTGCAGGGCGAGGCTGGTCGCCATGGTGGTCCGGGAGAGAAGGGTCCCAACGGGCTGCCGGTGAGTGCCCCCGCCGGCGGGGCCGGCCTGCTGGTGCCACTGCTCTTCGCTGGGCCGTGCTGGGCTGGGGGGTGGTCATCGTAGGGTCCCTTCCCGTGGTGGCTCTGGGGACTGCCTGTCAGAGCCCGCACAGGCCCTGGTGCCCAGCGGGTGCCCATGGTGCGTGCACGTGGGACGTGAGTGCGTGTGCGTGTGCCCACCCTGGATGCTGGGGTCACCCTGTGGGCCTGGGGGGCTCCTGCAGGGGCTCCGCACCCGAGGGCGGGAGGCTGTAGAAGTGCCCCAGGGTCAGCAGGGCTAGAAGCTGGCCCTGCCCCGGGAGTGCTCTGTCCTGTGGGGCCTCTATCCCTGGCCCCACACACACTGTCCTGTGCTGCTCACGGCCGCTGCTGTCCGCGTGCACACACTCGTGGACTCCACCGCGCCAACCAAGCTCTGTCCCGGCAGGGGCTCCCCGGACAAGCAGGGTCCAAAGGCGAGAAGGGAGAACTGGTACGTGGCTGCTTTCCCTGGGGGAGGGAGGCCAGCAAGCTGGCCTGGGCCGGGGATGGGGGCACTCACGGCGCCGCCTTCCCTGCAGGGCAGAGCCGGGGAGCTGGGTGAGGCCGGCCGCTCGGGAGAGCCGGGCATCCCTGTGAGTATCTGCAGCCGCCCCACCCCGCCCCGCCCCGTGCGCAGGACGCTGCTCTCACACGCTGCTTCTCCTCCCGCAGGGGGACGTTGGCGTGCCCGGGGAGCGCGGCGAGGCCGGCCACAGGGGCTCAGCGGTGAGTGAGGGACGTGGCCCAGGTTGAGGGGGTGGCCCGAGCCCCTGGCAGGTGGCCCTGGGTTTGAGCAGCTGGGGTGACACATTGGGTGCATCGATGGGCCAGGACCACAAAGCCAAGGATGCTGGACATGGTGGGGCCAGGCCTGAGACGTCTCATCCTCAAGACCTTTGCGCGAAGGCCCAGCCTCAGACCGCGGTGCCCACCTGTAGCCACAGGGCTCCGGGCAGGCAGTGGGCGTCGGCACCTGGGCGAGGGCATGCCTGAGCCTGAGACCCCTGAACTGACCCCTGACTTGGCCAGAGGGCTGGGACCAGCTGCGGTGCCCGCCCAGCCCTGTGGGCTCCACAGCCCCCTCCCCGGGGGTCTCCCCAGTCCCACTCATGCCTCCTTCTGTCTTTCAGGGGGCCCTTGGCCCGCAAGGCCCTCTTGGGGCCCCCGGCGTCCGAGGCTTCCAGGTGGGTAAGGTGGGCTAAGGGTGTGGCCTGGAGCCGTGACCCGCACAGCAGGCCCAGGCGAGAGCCTGCATGGGCCACGCCGGCAGTGAGGGTCTGGCTGAGCTGGACCTTCTCCACAGGGCCGGAAGGGCAGCATGGGAGACCCCGGCCTTCCAGGCCCCCAGGGCCTCCGCGGCGAAGTGGGCGACAGGGTAAGTGGCCCTGCACCGCAGGACGTGCCCCAGCCCCGGTTAGCACGGTCCGTGGAACACAGAGGAGAGCGGAGAGCCACGGTTCCTCAAGGCGTCCAGGCCAGGGGCCTCTCCCCTGAGCCCGCGGCTGCACAGCCCCGTGGGGAGGGAGGGCCCCTGAGCACGGCGCCCTGTGGTCCCTGTGGTCCATCCTTCCACGTGGCCTTCCTCGTGGGCAAGGGAGGTCCAGGAGCCTCAGCCACTCTGCTCCATCCCCATGTGTGCCGGGAGGACAGCACATAGTTGGTGCCCAATAATCAGGATGACGCTGGCTCCCAGCTGTGGGGCGTCAGCTGAGGTGTTATTTGGCAGAGGGTGACGTTGCTATACAGTAAGTTTCAACACCAGCGTTCCAAACGATTGTGACCGTCACCACTTCTGACTTCTCAAGACTCTTTCCTGTTGGTCTAACGACAGCCCGTGACGTGGCCCTCGGGAGTCAGGGCACAAGCGGCTGCATGACTGGCTCAGCTGGGGGGCAAAGCCCCGGGTCACCTGGGAGGAGGCTGTGGTCTGGTCTGGGCCCCGGCCCTGTCCCCAGCCACGTTCCACCAGGTCCTGCCTGCCATGGCCACCCACTGGGCGTGGGCAGGGACAGAGCCCTTTCGGAGGTGTGCACGCAGCCCCAGGAGGGCTCCAGGACGCGGCCGCAGACTCGGGGGCGGCGATGTCCCAGATGCCCCTGCCTCCGGGACAGCTGGAGCTGTAGAAGCTGCCACCCCCTGTGGGGACAGTGGGCCCTTTCTTAGCCTCTGGGCAGGAAATTCCAGAGGCCTGGACGTGCCAGCAACCCCAGGGCCTCTGGGACATGGGGGCTGGCGCTGGCCCAGGTGGGGGCAGGGCCTGGTTGCCGAGTTTCCCTTTAACTTCCTGAGAAGTGTCCCATGCGTTTGCCCTTTGGACAGGTTCTCACTTGTGCTGCTATATGAGCAAAGGGACTTTTTAAAAATATGTTTCTATTTTTTTTAGAGACAGGGTCTCACTATGTTGCCCAGGCTGGCCTGGAACTCCTGGCTCCTGTGATCCTCCCACCTTGGCCTCCAAGTAGCTGGGACCACAGGGCACGCTGCCCCACCCGGCTGCAAGTGGACGTTTTAAGGGAGATCCTAGCAATCCCTAGATGTGTCCTTAATCTCACAATGGGATAGGAAGGTGATAGGAGCTTTTGGGCCTTTGACTCAGGAATTCCACTGTGATGGGGTTAACCTAGGACCGTGTGTGCAAAGACGCCCGCACACGTTCACTGGGATTACAGCAATGCCCAGCTGAAAAGGACCTCAGTGTCCCCGAGGAGCATGGAGACCGGGCCCTGGACAGCACGGCTGGTTCTGTAGGGAAAGACCCGAGACTCCCGGGCTCAGGGCAGGGCCTGGGGTCCTGCCTGTGACCTGTGAACCTGGCCCGCGGGGCTGTGTCGGGGAGTCACGGTCAGCCGTTTGTGCCCATACCTTGTGGATGCGTGAAGTGTTTGCCGTCCCTGGTCCACCACGCAATGGAGGTCCCTTCGGGGAGCCCTGTGACTCCTCTAATCAGAGCCTTCTCTCCACCCCAGGGCCCTGGAGGCGCCGCGGGCCCCAAGGGAGACCAGGTGAGCAGGTACCTGGCGGCCGGTCACACCTGGGTTCATTTCTCCTCCTGTCTTTCTCATTTGCTGTCCCTGGCCCCTTGTAGCACAGTGACAGCCACTCTGGGCACCCAGCCTCCAGCTCAGGGTACAGACAGCTGGCGGACCAGACGGTCACCATGTGGCTCTGTCCCGGGAGGCATGTATGGGGACCCCCCGGGGGAGTGTATTTCCTGCTGACCTTCTGGAAACTGACTGAGAAGGAGGACGGGGTCTGGGCTCTCCGTTTTGCAGAAGCAGATTAGAAACGCATTTCTCCCTCTGCAGCTTCTCTCTCCAGAAAAGCTCTGAGGGTGGGGCTGTGGTCAAGGCTGCCCTGCCCTCCCAGGCACCTGCTTCCGGCCTCCAGGCAGCCCAGGCGCCGTCTGTGCTGGTCGAGGACCTGCAGCCTCTCCCCCCACACCAGGCTCTGGGGGGCAGAGAAGCCTCTCTATGCAAACAAGCCCCGCCTGCTTTGCAGTCTCCACGCTGGGCTGCGGGTCTGAGAGGCAGGGTTCTCAGGGGCTGGTTAAAAGGCAGGTCCTGGGCCCAGACTTTGGCCTCAGTCCCAGGGGATGAGCGTGAGACAGGTTGGAGAGCAGGTGGCCTAAGGCACGACGTCCCTGGACGCACTGAACGGTCCTCTTACCGTTGGGTGGTCACTTGCAGGGCATCGCGGGCTCCGACGGTCTTCCCGGGGATAAAGGAGAGATGGTGAGTGCGATTAAGTTAACCTTCCTGCTGCTAACAACTGAGAATTAACTAGTCACTGTGGGTGGGAACCGTCCCAAGGACAAGGTCAACATCTGCAGACCCTGGGGCGGGAACAGTCCCGTGGGGGAGTGTGTAGCTGGACGCGGGGGGCCGAGGCCTGGCCACTGGCGTCCCCCCAGCTTGAGGGGGCCTGGAAAGCCTGACATGGGGGGGCAGCTGGCGGCCTGGGTGGGCCTGGGGCGCCTCGGTGCTCAGTGTGGGGTTCCCTGCACCCCCTCGCCTGGTAACTGCTTGCAAAAGTCACTGTGGCTTTCCAGCAGGCATTAGTCACAGCCGAGTTTTGACTGAAGAAAACTCTGCTTACACAGAGCTAAAACTCAGGTTAGGTATAAAACTAAGCCCTCGGTTGGGTCAACTGACTCACATTTCTCCTGGAGGGAATGCAAGTGGGGACCTTGTGGGGTTAGCAGGAAAGATGTTCCTGGCTTGCCTGTGGCCCGTGGCCCATGGGCCGTGGCCGTGGCCGGAGCTTTTAATTGTTGAATTAATCTTTCCTTTGTGTCTGGGCTAAACCTCGGTAGCCTCGGTAAACGTTTTAAGCCTCTAGGCAAAGTAATCTCAGCTGTGTGTCTTATTCATTTTGGCAAATTCTTAGACAACCTTGACACGCGGGACCCTGGGAACCCAAGCGGCCGCCGAAGGCTGCTGGGGGCCGCCACGCTGATGGGGTGGGGTGGGGGGCGGCACCTGGGAGGGAGGCAGGCGGGCGAGCCCCCCTCGGCTCTCAGCCCTGGCACAGGGGGCCAAGCGGGGGACCCTCCCTCTGCCCTTCCCAGCCCCGGATGGGGCCGTCTCGGGCCAGCGTGAGCAGAGCGCGGTGTCAGGGCCCCGTCAGCCCTCCGCCTGCCCGCTAGCTGGCCGGGCCGTGTCTTAGTCTGTTTTCTGCTTCAGTAACAGAGTGTCACGCGCGGTAATCTACAAAGAAAAGAGACGTATTTGGCTTGTGGTCTGGAGGCTGGGAGGTCCAGGACCGAGGGGCCGCGTCATCCCGTGGCGAAAGGCGAAGCAGCCAGAGACGAGGGGGGAGGGGCGGGGGTGGGCTCATCCCTTCTTCAGGAAGCCACTCTGGCAACAACAGCGTCAGCCATCAGCTCACTCACACGGGGCCCTCCAGACCCCGTCACCTCCTAAAGGTCCCACCTCTGAATGCCGTCACGATGGCAGTCGCATTTCAGCGTGCGCTCGGGAGACATTCCGACCCTATCGGGCTGCGTCCCTGTGCGCACGCGCCAGCTTGGTCGGGGAAGGGCCCAGTTTAGGGCAGAGACGGTCAGCTCGGTGTTATTTACGACAGCAAAAAAAAAAAAAAAGGAAACGCGGTGAACGTGTGTAGAGACCATCCTGCGCAGCTACTATTAATAGTCACTCCTCGGGGAGAGTAAGTTTTAAGGAAGCTTTAGTGGGTTAACGTGGTCGCAGCAGCATAAAGAACGTATTTAACATGCAGAAGAATAAAGGAAGGAACCGCTGTCGATATTTTGATGTAGTCAGTGGCAGGTTTGTGGGCGATTTCGCTTTTATTTCATCCTCCACTAATACCATGTGGGATTGTCTGCTCGGGAGCTACTCCCCCCCAGCTCACGGCGCACGGGAGCCTCACGCCTCCCCTTCTCTTCACAGGGTCCCAGCGGCCCCGTCGGATCAAAAGGAGAGGTGAGGGCCTGGCAGACGCCCTCCGGGCGGGCGGTCGGCCGGCAAGGTGCTGCCCAGACCTGGGTCACAAGCTGGCAGGACAGGGCTGTGCTGGCCAGGGGAGCGGCCTGGGGGCCGGCTCTGGGCCAGGCTCCCGCTGACCCCCCTCTGTCCCGTTTCTCTGCAGTCTGGCAGTCGGGGGGAGCTGGGCCCCAAGGGCATCCAGGGTCCCAACGGCACCAGCGGCGTCCAGGGCGTCCCAGGCCCCCCCGGGCCCCTGGGCTTCCAGGGCGTGCAGGGCGTCCCTGGCATCACGGGGAAACCCGGCGTTCCGGTACGTCACTTCCCCTCCTTGAGTCGGTGCTGTTGGGGTTGGGCTTGCACAGGACTTGGGTCCTAGTGGCTCTGGGGGTGGGATGGTGGCCGCGGGAAGCCGCCACACACCGGTGGACTTGTGGGTGCGTTTTTAGGGCAAGGAGGCCAGTGAGCAGCGCATCAGGGAGCTGTGCGGGGGCATGATAAGCGGTGAGTCACCCCGGGGTGGCAGCTACGGGGACACGCGCCCGCACCGTCGCCCTCAGCGCTGTCATCCCTGGCTGGGCACAGCCTGGGTTGCGTGCCCCAGAGCAGGGAAAACCACTGTCAACCCATCAGAAGGAAAACTTGCTGCTGAAAGGCAGCGCCGTGCAGATATTTTATGCTTCACGTAGAAATACTCGTGAGAATCCCTCTGAAGTAAAGGCTTGCACCCTTGTTTCCCAAAAGAACAAATCGCACAGTTAGCTGCGCACCTGAGGAAGCCATTAGCGCAGGGGTCCATCGGCCGGCCTGGCCCAGCCGGCCCCCCCGGGCCCCCAGGACCCCCAGGCTCCATCGGCCACCCTGGAGCGCGAGGACCCCCGGGATACCGCGGCCCCACTGGTGAGCTGGGAGACCCCGGGCCCAGAGGTGAGTGGTCGTGCCCAACGCCGTCACCGGGCTGTGAAAATACCACGGCGGGGAGGGAGGGGCTGTCGCCGTCACGGGATGCTGCTCCCCGTATCCGCCAGGCCCCGCGTGCTCTTGCGGCCTAGCAAAGTCGATTCCTCGTTAATCCTGCGAGGAGGAGAACGTTTTTTCAAATGTGGTATTTTTCTCGAATACCATCGAACCACCTTTGGTGGGGAGGGGTTGACAAAAAGCGTGAGGCCCGAGCAAACCGGAAACAGTTTCCTTCACCCTGACGCTCGCACACACCTGCACGGGCGTGATGGGTGGATAAGCAGGGACTGCCCCATGACCGTGGCACGGCTGAGCACGCCTGTGCCGGGCGGCAGGACTGAAAAACATACGCTGACAGACACCAAAAAGGACGAAGTCAGGTCACTACCATTGATATCAGACAAACAGACAGGCTCTAATCACGCTGCCTTACAGGGTGTCACCGTATTGATAAAAGGTATAATTTGACTGGGTACAGTGTCTCACGCCTGTAATCCACCACTCTCGGAGGCTGAAGCAGGAGGATCGCTTAAGGCCTACAGTTTGAGGCCAGAGTGGACAACATAGCAAGACCCAATCCCTAAAAAAAAAAAATCATCTGGGCATGGTGGCTCACGGTCTTAGTGCTAGAATCAGGGGTGAGGAACCTGCAACCTTGGGGCCACGTGTGGCCTTCTGGATCCTTGAGTGTGACCTTTTGAATCCAAATTTTACAGAATAAATTCTCCTAGATACTCGGGAGGCTGAGGAAGATTGCTTGAGCCTAGGAGCGTGAGGCTGCGGTGAGCTGTGATCTCACCACTGCACTCCAGCCTGGGCAACAGAGCAAGACCTCATCTCAGAAAAAAAACCCAAAAAACCCCAAAATCAAGGCTGGGCAAGGTGGCTCACACCTGTAATCCTAGCACTTTGGGAGGCCCAGGCAGGAGGATCACTTGAGCCCAGGAGTTCAAGGCTGCAGTCAGCTGTGATCTTGCCACTGTACTCCAGCCAGGGTGACAGAGTGAGACTCTCTCTAAATAAGTAAATAAATATAACACCTTTAAATAACTCACGGGTCAAAAATCATATTGAAAATATGATTACAAAATGAATAATAGGCACAAATATTTTGAACAAAACTAAAACCCCATCCACGGTGACAGCAGAGCCCAGGGAAGTGGTGGCTGACGCTGGCTAGTTACAGTCGTGTGTCACTTACCAACGGGGATGCGCTCTGAGAAATGCTCCGCACTCCCGTCCCGCGGGAAGATCGCAGATGCTCCCGCACAAAGCCGGAGGGCGGAGCCTGCTGCTCAGAGCCACAGCCTCGGGCCACGCAGCGAGACCCCGTTACTGCGCTGAATGCGGCAGGCAGCCGCAGCACGGGGGTGTCTGCATCCGGACACAGCTGAGCACAGGCGGGGCACAGTGCAAATACTGCGCTGTAACACGTGGGCCCGCGTCACCTATGCGGCCCGTCATCGACCACACGTCATCATGGGCGCGTGACTGTGTCTAGGTGGGTTTGTCTCGGAGATGTCCTTGCTTTTCCGAATGGCTCCACTTCGATGACAGCCGGTGGAAAGCGGCAGCCTGTTTGTTAGGAAGGCGGATCGAATGCTGCCACGGTGCCGTCGCAGCAGACATTCTAACGTGTCTGTGTCCAATTCCTCCTGACAGGGAGCCAGGGTGACAGAGGGGACAAAGGCGCAGCAGGCGCAGGGCTGGACGGGCCGGAAGGAGACCAGGGGCTGCCAGGTAGGAGGCCACCGTCACCAAGGTTTTGTTGTGCGGGTCTCGTCCTGCGTTTTACCACCGATGTGGGGGAGCGCGTGGGTCATGCGTGTGTCTCGCTTTCTTATAAAGGAAATACTTGTTTCTCTTGGCAAAACGTAGAGGCAGGACTAGGAATTGTCTCAGTAACCACTTTAATACCTACAAGTTTAATCAGTAAACAGATCCTCCCGTGTCTATTCTAGCTAAGTGGATTTGGCTGTGTCCCATTTAACCAGAGCTACATAGTAGCTATTTCAGTTAAATTCTAATGGAATTTCCTCTCACCTGACCCACATATACAGTGACTATTTCCATTTTTTTAACATCAAAAATGAATGCTTTGTCAAGGAGGGAGGCAGCGTTGCCGTCCCCAGCAAAGGCCAGCCCCCGGCCGCGTCCCGACCCCCTGTGCCCTCTCAGAGGCTCCGTCCCGACCACTCCCATCAGCACAGACGTCCGCAAAGTCTCAGGCCCTGGTTTTGACATAACAGTCACCTGCTGGCTACGGCTCAGTTCCAGGCTCCTTCCACATCTTGGGTGGGGCCGAGAGGCCTCAGTGCCCCCAAAACACTCTCCTCTCCTGGCCCTTGAGGGCTGCACCCCTTGCTCCCGGGGTCTCCTTGGGGGCCCAGCCCTGCCTGTGCCTGGCGTCCTAACGCTCAGGGGCCCCTGGCTGCATCTCTCCACCCATGTGGCTTAGATTTCATCTGTGTCACTGTTCCCAGGGGACAGCAGCCTCCGGCTGTACCATGACCACGCTGTCCTGGACTTTGTCACCCTCCCCCAGGCAGTCGACTCCCCCTTTGCTCACACATAGTCCTCCCTGCAGCTCCAAGCCCCCCACTGCCTCCCACCCGCCCGCCCCGATCCTGTCCTCCCCGATCCCGTCCTCACACAGCACCCAGGAAACCTCCCGACACCGGTGCTGCGCCCTGGGGCAGCGTCCACCCTCACTGCACCCACGTCCGCCCCCCTCGGAGTCCGTACCTGTCTCTGCTCCCCTCGGCCCCTCCCAGGGCTAAGAAATAAGCTCCTAGAAAGAGGAGTTGGGGCTGCTCAGTGGGTCTAGGTGCCCCTGCTCTTCAGCCCTTACCGCACCCGAACTCACCTTCCTCGTCTGTCTCAGGACCGCAAGGCGTGCCCGGTGTCAGCAAAGACGGCCAGGACGGCGCTCACGGCGAGCCCGGGCTGCCCGGCGACCCGGGGCTGCCTGGCGCTGTCGGTGCTCAGGGGACTCCGGGGATCTGTGACACCTCGGCCTGCCAAGGCGCCGTGTTAGCAGGGGGCAGGGAGAAATCGGGTCCTAGAAGCTCGTAAAATAGAACTTAAGGAAGAGAAGTAAGGACAACCGGAGCAACAGCGATCTGGTCACGTCCGGGGAGCCCCGACCTGCCCTCCGCACCCTCGACGGCGGCCGACGGGACGCTCGGCCTCGGAGCACCGGATCGAGCTGTTGTCTGCGTGTCCGTCCGACGGGTCCTGACAGCCGGCCACTCATCTGTGATGTCGTACCTCAAACACAGGCCCTGGTAATAAATTTGGAAACCCACCATTTGAGAGGACGCAGGGTGTATATATAAGAAGTTTTGTACAATTCCATGAGGCAAGAAATATTCCACTTGTTTACGTAGCATTTGCGTAAACACCGTAGTCTTTGCGTAAAGACATCATCCCAATAAAATGATACATGAAATCTTCAGATTAATGACTGGCCACAGTGTAACAAACAATAAAGCATCTGATGTACCGTATTCCTTCTATACAGGGGTCTAGTCTGATTTACCTGCTTCTTGTGTACAAACTTACATCTCTGATTAGCAGTATTTATTGAAGGCGATTTTGTATTGTACTAACTTCTACTGATATTACCTGTTGTAATAAATAAAGCCACTCATTTGAAAAACCCAGTTCCAAACACCGCAGTTTATTACACATAAAGTAATGACTCAATATGGAAATGTGGGCATTTATGAAATCTCCTGAGACAGAATTTCATTTATGGTCAGAAGTAGCTTTAAAGGAAGTCTCTGGAAAATTTTTAGCAAAAAGGTTTAAAACAGTGCTGCATTTTGCAACGCAGCACCATGTGATGAAATCATTACAAGGGGATGATACAACAAATACAATAAAATTTCCAAACTGTTTCTAGTCAAGAGCAATTTAACTTGTTCCAATTGCTAAAGGGGCATATTTAAAATGAAAATAAGTAAAAAGCAATGTACCTTTTAAGACTAAATAAATTACAAAGGATGTTAATTTTTTAAGTTATCATGTTAAGACAACATGATGGAATCAGACAGATAATTGAAAATTACTAATTGTCAAGATGTCTTTATCCCCAAATGGTCTCAGAGGACATTAATGGATAGGCATTTTGTTCTAGACAAATATTTTCACAAAATGTGCTCTCAAAGTCCCTACTGGAGTCCCGCCAACTCGAGCCAAGTCCCTTTCGAGTCAGACCGTCAGGGCGGAGCTCCGGGGTTGCGGGAAGCGCGTGGGTCACGGAGGATCCCCGTCCAGCGATCACTTGATCTCCATCGCGGGGCTGCTCTGCAGGCTCCCCTGTGCCGGGCAGGTCACCAAGGCGTCGGGTCTGGTCAGCTTTAGCCTTCTGCCAGTTTTACCGCAAAATACACTCTCAAATTCCTAAAGTCAAGAAGCGGTCGTTAACGCGCTGATTCACAGACGTGAAAACTGCTATGTTCAAAAGCACGAAAGGTTGGGATTAAGAGCGAGGTCAACTACTGCGAAATACATAGTCTTAAGGGGTCATTCGCAAACTCACGTCACAGCTTGTGAAGACGAATACGTGATAAACACAGGGATTCGAATATTCTTCTCAAATATCAGTAACACCATACATGTATTTTTATTGAGATTTTCCAAGAAGTTCTCAAAATGGCTGGCCACATTGTGAAAGGAGCATACCCTTTTTGTTATTGTAGTAAAATACACATAAACATGCGTTTTCCATTTTAACCACCTTCACCTGTGCAGGTAACTCCCTCCCCTCCGGCTCCTGCACACTTGGCTCCGCCCACAGCACCGGCGGGTCCTCCCCCCTTACCCCAGTTTGTTTTTTTTTTTTTTTTGAGACAGAGTCTCCCTCTGGGGCCCATAGCTCCTGTTTTTCAAAAGGTCTCAATAATTACAAGGTCTGGTCAGTCTCACAAAAGGAGAGGGACGCCGTGTGCCCGCTGCCGGTCTCATCAAGCCTCCCGGTCACCCTGTATAGGACACCCAGGGCGGGGACATTCACCCCCACCTTGGACACGCAAGATGCAGAATGTAGAAAAGTCTACAGGACTCACGATTCCATTTTCAATAACTAAATGGCAAGGAAAGAAGGAACTATTATAGATTAGTAAGATATTAAAAGAGATTTAAGAGCTATCAACCAAATGCAGTGTTTGAATCCCGATTCCAATAAACCGTAAAAAAGACATTTGTGAGCCGATGGGGGGTTTCAGAACAGGGTGGATACGAAGGATCAACTGATTCAGGAAAGGTGAGGATACTGTGTTGTAACACACGTGCTTATGTTTTTAAACAGCCCTTTTCTTTGTGGAGATATACATATGGATGAGATGTCTGGAATTGCTTTAAAATAATCCAGTGTGGGTGGGAGGGTGGGGAGTGTGGGTGAAATAAAATTATGCCTGAAACTGAGTTATGGGGACATGGAGTTCATTATTCTCTCCATTTTTTGCACGTTTGGAAATTTCCACAAGCTTTAAAAAAAACAAACCATAGCATTCTACACAATTAAATCTAGATTTATATATTTTTTATTGTGGTAAAATATATTTAACAGAACTTGCCATTTGAAGCATCTGTAAGTGTACATTTTAGCACAGTAAGTACATTCACAGTGTTGTGCAGCCATCGTCACTTTTTCCAAAACATTTTCATCTCTGTCCCCATCGAACACGAGGTCCTCACCTGCCCTCCCCCCACCCCTGGCGCCATCTCCTTTGTCCCCACGGATCCGACTCCTGTCTTTGTGACTGGAGGATTTGCCTTAGCGTGATGTCCTCAGAGGTCGTCCCTGTTGCGGCAGGTGTCGGGATGTCTTTCCTTTCTGCGCAGAACGGATTCTACTGTGGTTACCGCGTGCGTTCTTTATGCACTCACCTGTCAATGGACTCGTGGGCCGTTCCCACCTTTTGGCCACTGTGAACAACGCAGCTGTGAATACTCACGAGCAAGTGTCAGTTTGGGGCCCTGTTCTCAATCCCTTTGGGTTTATCCCGAAGTGGAACTGCCGCTCATATGGCAATTGTGTTTAACTTTCTGAGGAACCACCACGCCGTCTTCCACGGAGGCCGCGGCCTTGTACGTTCCCACCAGCAACACACAGGATTCCGATTTCTCCACATCCTTGCCGACGCGATTGTATTTATTTATTTATTTTTTAAATAACAGTCATCCTAAGGGGTGTGAAATGGTATCACATTGTGGTTTTAATTTTTATCTCCCTAAAGACTAATGATGTTGAGCATCTTTTCACGTGCTTATTGGCCATTTGTGTATCTTCTCTGGAGAAACATCTATTCAAGTCTTTGCCCATTTTTAAATTGTGTTGTCTTTTTATTGCGGAGTTTTAGTAAGTTTATATTTAATTCAAGTCCAGGAGAAGTATAAGTACTCTACTGCCATTGACTTAACTTCTGAATCCTCTGGAGTGGCTGTCACATTATACCTACCCACATTTTAAGTGACATTCCGACCAAAGCAACCTGCCATTTCCAACTATTGGCTACACTCAGAAGCTATATCTGCACATGAATATACTCTAATTTTCTTCTCAAACTTTAAAAGGTTTTAGGATACAATTTAAGATGAACCACATTTTGATAAATTTCCTAACGCATAAATATAAAACATTTGCCTATATTTGTCAAGGCAGATTTACCTTTTAGAATAACTAAGTAAGAGTCAGAAAGAACAAAATAATCATTTCTCAGACATACAGTATTTTGAGAGATTTTCTAAACTATTTTCACACGTGATGCAGCCAGTGCCGGGCATCCATCTTTACTCGGAACCAGTGGGCACAAGTAGGGTGAGGGTGTGGTCCCACCTGGACTCTTGCAGGACCCCTGGAACCAGTCTCCTGGGAGCTGGGGGCAGACGTGAAAGGCCCCAGCAGATCTCTTCAGTCTTCCTCAACTGTGCCAAGGCCAAAGGTAAGCTGTTACTACATCTCTCAATTAGCATCTATTTTCAACAAAACGTATATGAGTTTTAACGGAATTTCTACAACTTATCAAAACATCTTGAGATGACATCTGACCAAAGTAGGTATTTACATTAGACTTGTAAATATGAGAATAAGACCAATGCCAAAAACCATACTTCTCAGCTGGGCACAGTGGCTCACGCCCACAATCCCAGCACTTTGGGAGGCTGAAGCAGGAGGATCTCTTGAGGCCAGGAGTTCGAAGCTGCAGTGAGCTATGATGATGCCACTATGCTCTAGCCTAGGTGACAGAGTGAGACTGTCTCAAAAAAAAAAAAAAAAAAAAAAAAGCACCGAAACAAATTTACTTTGAATGCATTGATTAGAAACTAAGGAAGACGGAAGGTAAATGAAATAAACTTTCAAGATACCAGAAAAAATAAGACTTGAGAGAAGGAAATAACAGGAGTAAGGTTTTTAAACGATAAAGATAAAAACAAATTATGATTTCAAAAAACGCTAGCACTGAGCCCCCCAACAAAAACCCAACGGAGAAACCAACAAGCCCCACGGTGGTTCTCCAGGAGACAGAGCACCGAGTGAAGAGGAATACGGTAGTTTATGAAGGAGCTCAGGACTTTTTAAAAAGACACTTTATTTTCAAAATGTCACAACACATTCCAGACCATTCTGCTGCGTGCAAGCTACAGATGCCTGCTCAGCAGCTGCGGAGCATCCTTTAGCAGCAGGTTCAAAAGTGAATAAAAATCCAAATTAAAAACAAGGATTCACACAGTCCCCATCTCCTAGTCTTGCACGTTGCTGCATCTGTGCCAACCCTACTCTTACAAAGACATTTCAAAACTAGCAATAACGAAGTCAGCTGGCCCCCCAGATCCTAATTCAAGTTGCGCTCGAAGTTCACAGCCACGGATGGTATCTGCACATCAGTGCCGGCTGAAGCACAGCTGCAGCGGCCCATCTTCCCACGCACGGGACAGGGTGACAATGTCCCCTCCTCACTCCAGGACGGAGGTCGTGGTTCTGGACTGGCTGCGAGAGTCACCACGTTGGCTCTGACGTCACCAGAGGTGTCGGCAGCAGCGGCATCAACACCCACGCTTTCCAAGAGCACCCACCTGCCCACGTGCTCCGCGGGCAGGTCACGGCACTCGACAGCCCCAGCAAGGCCAGCGCGTTGGACACCGTGTGCTGCATGAACAATACTTCTCCCTCCAGTCTGGTCTCCTGACGCGGGCATGATCCTGAAGTATGCGATCAAACGACCCGTACACTCCACCACTAACGAGAGGCGTGAAGGCGTGTTCGCGACAATGGCGTCTTGGAAGATGCCCAGCAGAACACGAGCTCGTCGGCTCAGCTGACCGGAGGGCGCAGCCAGCAGCACGCGGGACTCTCAGGGGCCTCTGCAGGTGAAGACTGGCCACAGGACTCTGCAGGAAGGGGTTCCCCATTCTGTGCCCCACCCACCAGGCTACGCGACCCACCTTCCCTACCCTGGGAGCCAAAGGCTGGGGTTCCTTCCTGGAGAGGGTGGGGGTCTGGACTCTGGGAGGCAACTGCCCAACACAGATCGATGGATGCTGGACACCGACCAGGTCGACTCTCCAGCTCCCGCAGACACTCACTCCAGGGCCTGGACTAAGCCTGGGGCTCCCCATCACTGAGAGGTCGGGGAGAAGGGAAGGCAGCCCAGCAAGGGAGCAGACACCAGGGAGGGCAGCGGGAGCCGGGACGGAAGCAAGCGGTATGTCCCTGCTGCTGAGAGGTCAGTGGGATCGGGGGAGACGGGGACGTGGGGCCCAGAGGGTTCTCACAGGAGAATAATGGAGGAATCACAGCACGTCTGCAGGAAAAGTGGGGGGAAGGGACAGAGCCGTCCCGGAGTCGGTGACAGGACCTGACTTCAGACAGAGCCTGAGGACTCGACCTCGGTGACGAGGGATGGCCAAGCAGGGCCCGCTGCGGGTGGCAGGAAAAGGAGAGAACTCGGTCATCCACTGGTGAGCGAGGGAGGGAGGGAGGCAGAGTGTGGCCCCGCAGCCTCGGGAACCTGGCTGGGGTTTGTGGCCACGAACTGAGCACAGCATCGCAGGACAATGGAGCGTCACCAGCCACCCTGGACTGGATCCCAACTGGGAAGCAAAGCTGTAAGGGACGTTAGGGGACAACAGGCACAGTCTGTACGGACAGCAAGAGTATTACACCACGGTGGCTTATGCCTGTAATCCCAGCACTCTGGGAGGCCAAGGCCGGCGGATCCTTTGAGCTCAGGAGCTCGAGACCAGCCTGAGCAAGAGCGAGACCCCATCTTAAAAAAAAAAAAAGAGTATTACACCAATGCTGAGTTTCCTGATTTTGATCACTGTGTCCTGGTGAGATAACAGACTTACTGCTAAGAGTCAACACTGACGTGCTCAGCCAGAAAGAGGCCTGGGGCCTGCAACCCCCTCAAGCGGGGCAGAGGTGAAGGACGGAGGGTGGGCCACTGCTGACGACCAAGGATCCGGGCAAACCTGGCTCTCTGTACTGCTCTTGCCATTTTTTGGTAAGTTTGAAATCACACCAAAATTTAAAATTACTATAAATAGAGTCATCTAAACCCAGAAGGTGGAGAACTCTATAGGCAACTTGCCTGATCTGGTTAAAACCCGATGCCCACAGTAAGTAACTGTGGGCAGGTGAAACCAATGCATAAGCCCCAGCTGGACACCAGGATGGAAAAAAGCTATCAACGTCATGTTAGAACATTCTGGGGAAATCTGAACGTGCACCGGGCATCAGAGGTGTGAGAGCATTGGCAGCAGCTTGGTGAGCGCGGTAAGGCCACGGGGTTTTGTAGAAGGCCCGTCTTTGGAGACGGGTGCAGAATATTTAGAGATGAAGGTTCATGTCTGTAACTGTCCTTGAAAACGTGTGTGCGCGAGAACACGGCAAACGGCAGGGGCCGAGATCGGGTGATGGTGTGCGGGTACCGCCTGCCCTAACTACGTTCACTGGAAAACAAACTGGACCATCCACTCGCTGACGACGACCGGCCCTCACCCCGCAGCTCTCTGTCCACTGCCTCCTTCACACCTCCACCTGGTGCCTCCCGGAGGCTGGACCCACCCCACCCAGCTCCCCCCACCTCCGCTCTCAGCAAACAGCCCGTCCGCCCAGGCCTGAATCACCCAGATACCTTTTCCATCACACCCAACGTCTGGCGCCGCCACAGACACAGAAGCCCACGCCTGTCCTTCCCAGCCACGCTCTCGGCTTCCCTCTCGCCCAGGCCCACCCTGTCTCCCAGCCCAGGAATCCCTAGGCGGACCCCCAGGCCCACCGCACCCAGGCCCCCCGCCTGGGGCCTGGACCCTGAAACGCTGGGCTGGCAGCCAGGGCTGCTCCTCACACGCGGGGGCGGGGGTGGCACCCTGCCCTGGGGCCTGTGGCGCTGCAGCTCCCCAGCTCAGGGTCCCAGCTCCTTGTCGCCATTCGGGCCTCGGCTCAGCGGCCTCAGGAGACCACCAGACCCAAAGCAGCCCCTCCGCAGGCCGCTGGCTCTCAGCACAGCGATTCCCGCCCTGCAGCCCTGCCGTCCTCTGAGCCACGTTTTCCCGGGGACTGTCTCCCTCCACGCCACAGCGCCTCTGCCTCGTCCAGGGCACCCGGCACCTTTGTCAGGAGACTGCTCACACCAGGAAAGCTCTGCCAAGGGCAGTGTGTACTAGAATACTTTAGAGAACTCTCTAAACTCCCACGTACTACAACATCTTTAAGAACCAAAGCAAACATGCGAGTAAGAGGAGGAAAGTTACTAAGGAAATAATTAAGTCCACACGTGTTTAGGCTATTTCCATTCTAATCGCCCCAGACTGCTCACTGACTTGACTTCAGCCTGTTCCTTGTGGGTCTAATTATCAGACACAGAAACAATCCACAAATCCAATGTAGCTAAACTTCCAGAAATATCCAGGAAACAAACATATATAAAATATAACACCCATAAATTTTTAGTTTACTTAATCTTTGAGTATATGTAGTTAACAAAAGTCTTTTTTTCAAAAATTATAAATGCCTTCACATTTGAATGAATTATATCAACAATTTACCACTGATAGGTACACAAAGCCAAACATTAAATCATTTTTCAAAATATAAAAGCTTTATTGTGTTAAAGCCAACAGTCTATCTCTAACAAATGTTAAAGAGTAACTGCACCATAAATAACCATAAAAGACCCAGCTAGAACTAACTTTGACATAGTTTTGATTTAAAATGCAATAAATGTATAATGAGAATAAGGCACTTAAGAAATTATGCAACTCACAAGAAGTAAATGTCACGTGGACATAAAAAAGGGAGACAGATAATTCCATCTGTAGCCCCTAGAGAGAGAAGCGCCTCTGCTCAATGCAGCCTGGCCACGGGAGGGCCTCTCCCGGCCCCACCACCATCCAGACACAGGGGCCCTTTTTAAAAAGGTTCCGTGTTTGTTGGACCCGTCTTAGCTCATTCTCCAGTCAGACTCCTGCTGGAGTCCCGAGTGATTACCCCACAGCCTGGACAAGGAACAAAGTCAGGACCCTGTGGGCTCATTCTGAGGTCCCCAGGACAGCACAGAATCAGTCCCACGATTGACACTCTTCCTCTGAATCCCGAAGGGCCGGGATGGACTGTCACTCAAACAGGCATATGGTTCTGGCAGAGCCGAGCTGGCACCGGTCACTGCCTGTGACCACACAGACAGCACTAAGGCAGCCACCGGCCGTCCTGAGGACCCAGAAACCACAGGCACCAAAGCCCCCGCCCCTCCCTAACCACCCAGCCATGGAAATGTATCTCGTTTGCCTTCTGAATGTATTTGAAGTCCAGACTATTTATTTGACATTCATCTGCATTTTTGTTTTTAACCATTTCACGAAGTTTTCTGAAGGCAAAATCACATCCTACATGCCCTTCAGGTCCCAGTAAAATACACTGTTAGAGCAGGTGCCCGATCTGCTATTTAACAATGGACATCTCAGTCACTTATAAGCTGCCATGTAATAAATAAATCCAGGCTGTGATTACTTCTTTAGGAATTGACAAGTTATAGGATTACGAGCAGAGCTTCGCTCGTGTTGGACAGTATTTGACATTAGATTCCAGTAAACAAAGGATAGTCTGACTTATCCTTGGGAAAAAAGGATAAACAGGATATTGGTAAGTAAAATTTATAAAATTCTTAAAAGCTACCTGGCCTAATTAAACACTAACCTTTTTAAGAGCATCTCCGTGTCTTTCCTGAATATATTTCAGGAATGCCGTGGTCCACTGAAGAGTTGTTGCCTTATCAGTCTCGGCGTTGCAGAACGGGACTAAAAGATTCAACTCATCACAACAAATGCGGATTCTGCGCCTACAGCCAAAACCCAAAGCATCACATAGAAAAGCTGAAGCCAGGTAAGTGGGTGAAGGGGAGGTGTTTCACATCTCACTAGGAGGAAAGGCACTCAGGAAGCCTGGCCTCTGAGTGCCGCGGAGGTTTATTCCCGGAGAGAGGGAATAAACTCTGCCAGGGTGCTCCTTGTCTATGGAGGCGATCGCTGCCCCAGCTCACGGGGGCACCCAGACGCCCTTGTGGCCCCAAGTCCCCGCACACTCCCCGCTCCTGGGCCAGGTTCAGGTCTCCAGACCAGGGATGGCTCCAAACTCTCCGAAATTGGAAGCAAGATTTTGTGTCTGTGCTTTCTCTGGGCAGATCACTCCTTCAATCAACAGACTGTTACCACTTGCCCTCCATGTGCCAAATGCCGTACGAGCAACTCACACATAGCTTTGAGATGCTCCGAGGGACCCTGATTCAGAAAGGATCAGAGATCACCACACCACTAATATGCTGAAACCAGGTCTTTTTAGGTAATTTAAATCACAGCTTGAGTCTCATTAGGTTACTTTTTTAACTTTCACACAGTACATTCAGTAATACACCAAAGCCCTAAAGAAGGTGACGCTACGCAACTTATACGATAGGCCCTCATTCACCTTCACACCTGTACACTCAGAATTTTCATTAGAGACTCTGCGAGGTAAGAACAACTGCCAGGTACTAGATGTTCTGACCTCTATGCACCAAGCCAAACATTCTTCACGTATCAGCTGATTTCATCTAACCACAAGTCTACGCAGCAGAGTTACAAGTCAGACTTTCAAACTGCCAACATGTGGTGCGAGGCTTTTCACACAGTAGGTGTTCAATAAATGTTTATTACATAAATGTCAGAGTAGGTAATGCCCTTCATAATTCACAGTGAGTTTATGGACGTCCTTCAGTTAGAGAGTGTTTATACACATATCGTAAGAACGGTATCTAGCTAGCTTTAATATACCCCTTTAAAAAGAAAGAAATTGGCTTAGCTTAACCTTCAGCTCTGGAGCTTCCAAGTCAAGTATTTGTCTCACTCCCTGCTATTCATTTCCAGAGCCTACAACAGAAACTGGTACACAGTATTTGATAAATGACTAAGTTAATTAATTATGTATTAGGGAAACACTGTGTGAAAACCCAACAGAAAAAATTCAACTGCCATTTGATTCCACACAGAATAAAATCTACAACCAAAACAGCTTAAATACTTAAGTTTTAACCTCCTCCTTCCCGACATTCTTAAAAGAACCAAGCAAAACTTGCAAAACTCAGTGTCCTGGTGTGCAGAAGAGCTAACGTCACAGCCTGACTGCTTACGAGTGGAGCGTGGGGAGAGCAGTTAAGTCAAGCCCTAGGAAGCTCACGCCTGGGCTCCCGGCTCCTCCCCCTGCCCTTTGCTGACGTTGCTTCGGAGCCTTTCTCTGTGACAGTCACAGACATGAGTGTGACTATGTGCCGAGTCCTGTGCATCCTCCTGGTCAATCACTAAACCCTGGGGCGGTCCTGGGGACCCCGATCTCATAGCAAAAAAGTCAATGGTACTCCTGCTTCCTTTTCCTCCCTTTGAACACAGAAACAGCTAACTGCTGCTTGACCTGTAACAAGCCTGCACGTCTGAAATAACCACATATAAGTCAACCAGACGATCACACGGATTACCTTCTATCTCGCTCCATTCGGTTATGCCTCTCCCTGCGCTGAGATCTTCCTCCCTGGGGCCCGCTCTGGGCCTGCTCCCCCAGGTTCGACTGTGAGGACTCCGAGGATTGCCAAGCACCCTGTGCAGCTGTGGAGCCTTCGCCCACATTCTGAATCTCTCCAAGGGCTCTTCGTTCTACGTTTGTGTCCAACTGACGTACTCTGCTCCGATTCCTCTTATTTATTGCTTGTTTACATAGCGCTTCTTCTTTGCAAAAGAAAAAAAGGAGTATTTAAATTTTTTATTCTTACTAACTCACCCCAATTAATGCTGAATATATTTTTTGGCATTTTCAATCCAAGATATAAACATTATTGGGTAAGCAGCACACACTCAAACCACAAAAAGCTATACTACTGCAGTTATTCAGTGCAAGCAGTTGGCACTAAGCTTCCAAGCCTATTTCATACTACAAACTGAAAGTGAATCTCTAATTAGACTAAAACATTCCTTCTAAGTGTTATGTAACCAATATAACCTTGTCAAAAGTTCACCTTTTTAGTCTACAGGTGTTGCCATCTATGAATAGAGAAACCAAGAAGTTGCTCACTTCTTTGGAAATTCAGAACAGGAAAAAAAGCTGGAAGTATTTTCTCCAGAAAAGATTTTCTTTATATACAATTATAATATTTTAACTGCAGTGCCCAGAAAAGAGAACAAAACTAAAGTGGCTTCAGATTAAACATGCCCTCGCCTTAGAAGTGATTCGTCCCACACAAGTAACAAACAGCATCACAGCTTCCACAATACACGGCTGGCAACAGACTATGCTCTGCTACACGTGCATATGTAGATACATGCAAATTTCCATCGGAGAACTACGGACAGCTAACTAGTAGGTGTGGTGATGTCAACCCCCACATGCCATACAAAGCCGAATTCTCCACAGTAAGAGAAACTGCCTAATGCAAATTTTGGAATGGTGATAATGTTTTAAGGGGGACACAGAGGAATTCAATAGTTTTAGTGATATTTTATTCCTTAACCTGAGTGGTCAGCACAGGGACTATTTTAATACTCATCTCTCCACCTTACAGATGTTGACATACATGTCCGGGGAAGAAAAGGAACTCTGACTGACGTGGGAGAAAGCCGTAGCATCCCAGCCACCCCGTCTCCCCCCACTCTTGGAAAGCTGAGTGTCAGCTGCGCTGTTCTCTGGGTAACTTGAAAAACAGTTGTTTTCCAGGGAGGAGGGACTAAGGGTTAACTTTCGAAGTCGTCCAGTCTGCCTTCAGCTGTCTCTTTATTCCCCAAACTTCCATCCTTTGCCCATCTGCAGAGTGTCCTGTTACAGTCACCTCTCCTAAAGCTGTGGCAGATTTCAGACTTCTGCGTCACGCATGGAGTATAAAATAAGAGAAGACTATGAAGTGCTTCCAGTAACTTCTGAAAATTTATGTAAGTCTATCATTTTACTGTTAAGAAAAAGTCCTCACACTCAACGTTCCCACACCAAGGTCAATTACAACGTTTGAGATCCAGAAGAACATTCAGAGTAAGACGACTGGGGTAAGAAGGGTGGAGAAAGGGCCGAGACACACCCCCCTCAAAGGTGTTTCCTCAGCGTCTAAACCACCTCTCCCCTGCCCACCAAGGCCACCGGCAGCCCACTGCCTCCTTCGTTATCGCTTACCTCCCACTTTAATCCAAACCTGCTCCGGCAAAGCTTTGTTCCTACTACCCAAAGTCTGTTTAGTGGATTCAATTTCTTGCTGATAACAAAAAGAAAATGCTCTAGGCAACCCAATATCCTGGTGCTTGGCAGCTTCAAGTATAGAACATGAATTACTAGAACTCTGGAAAAAACGAAGCAACACGAATTTTATCAATATGCAGCTTAACCTCTTTACTGCACAAGTAAGACACACTTAACAGAAGTAACATCAAAGCTATTCAATATGCAATTTGAAGAACTTTAGTTGCACTGAGGATTTTAAAATATTCCCAAACCACACAAATACTCTCACATTTTAAAAGGTTATTAAGCTCATTAAAAGGAAAAACAATCCTCAGAACCTAACAAAAATAAGTTAAAATGTATCCATTTAATTTAAAAGAGCAGTTTCACAAATCATGTTTCCTACCTGCGTTTGTGGAAGATTAGAGGTTGCACCGGTAGAGCAAGCATTTGTAGTAAACACTGGGTATGTAAATTGCAAAGCAGTAGTTGCAGCAGCAGTTTTGTTTTTCACTAACGTTGTACATTTGTTTTGTTGCTGATGAAGAGGAACATTCATCAGCTCAGATGGATGTCGAATTAGGGTTACCAAACTGCAGAGACAAAAGAAAACCCAGACACACATGAGGAATGTTGCCCGGAACATCGCTAGCACCCCCTCTCCCACTCTAAGATTTTCTGGGCAGAAGATCAACTCAGGATAAACACCCCTGTACAACTATCAACGAGTGCTGTGGAAAAGGCCGTCCACTCTTCCTCCTCACGGAGGACAGACTGTGTGTCACCTCCCTGCTCTCATCACACCCTGACACCAGTCTCTCTTCTTCCCTGTCCTGCAAGTCTGACTCAGGTGGGCAAGACAAGGTCAACAACAGGCCTGGGCGAGCAGAAAACCTCGGGGGTCAGTCAGGCTCTTCCACAGCCGCCCCTGGGAGAGCACCTCGTGGGCTGGCTGCAGGCTGAAGCCTGGAAAGACGTCGCCCCTGCTTGCACAGACCTGCCAGCGCCTGTGCAAGGCCAAGTCAGCCCTGCCGGGGTGGGGACTCGAGTGGGGGTGAGGAGAGTCTTCCCAGGACATTCAGAAGGGTAATTTGGAGACAACGGTCCCAACTTTTCATCTCCCTCTTGTGCGCGGATTCACAGGGCTCACCCACAAAAGGTACCGCCTGGGGACACGTACTTAGTACTTGCAAGTGTGGAGCACGCGCCCCTTCCCACCAGACCCTAGGCTCGGAGGGGCCGGTGAGGGTCAGGAGTCTGGTTCCTTCTGCACTGGGGTCCCCTTCACCTGCACCCACACCCGGCAGGTAGCCGGGCCATCCCACCATCTCCGCTCCGCCCCTCAGCCCCGCCTCCCGTCCCCGTAACTGCCCCGCAGGCCCCCAGCTCCCCGTCTCAGTCCCTGCCCCCCAGGCCCCCAGCCCCGTCGCCCCCGGCCCGCACGCACTTGTTGAGCGCCATGCCCGGCTCCGGGGGCTCGGGGCCTCGCGCTGCCGGCGGCTCGGCAGCCACACTGTTGAAGCGGTCCTCCAGGCGGACGCGCACGGCCGACTTGGCCCGGGCCTCGGGGGCGCCCTCTGGCCCCGCCACGCCCGC